GTTTTTTGCATAGCGAACACTCTTATTTTCTCAAACAAATTCAGCATTTTATTTTTAATTTGCGCTCTTTTTCTTAAGAAGAAAACATGCACTAATCTATTGTTTTAAATTCTTAAACAATTCCTACTGTTGCAGTGGCTATTAGCGTTCCATTTATATTTTGCCAACGGCTATTTTTGCTGTTATTATTGTTGATTTTTCTCTTGTAAACTGAGTAAAATATTTGCTCCCGCATTTGTGTTTTTTTTTTTGCTCATTTAAATACTACATAGCGCATACAAAAATATGCCAGTTGTTTACATTGTTGGCCACTTGCATTGCTGCACTGCTGCGCTGCCACTGGCGTTGCTTGATTGCAAATTTTCGAGTGTCCTCCGTCGACCTGTTTGCAACAGAAGCAGCAGGCAACCAGCGCCTCCACTACTCTATGACTCTTGCCAAAGGAATTGACCCACTTTCCGCGCATATTCCATGTATGAATGTTGCCAATGCGGTCGGCCGGTCGGTCGGTTGTTCGTCGCATGTTGTTGCCGTTGCCGTTGCCATTGCTGTCGCCAACGCCAACTTTCTCGACATCCAGCAGCAGTCAGCAGTTAGCAATGCTATTATTGTTGTGGTTGTTGCTGTAACTGCTGTTGGCATTTGCTTTGAATGCATTTAAATGCGGTTATCACGCACTCCTTGCCACTTATGTTCATACAACACCACGCCACTTATGCCAAGTTGTCCTTAGCGGGAGAAGTAACGCTTAACGCCCACACACTTCCAGCGCGCTTGCTTGAGAGTGTTTTTTTTTTGTTAGCCAGCATTCTAACTACATACACAATAAACTAGGCGGCCGACTTTCATCTACATATTCACCCACAGCATTGTTGTAATATCCGACTGGATGTTTTATTTGTTTGCTTACCTTTCGGATTTGCTGCTGAAAATAGTGCGATGAAGTGGATAAGCTTTTAATTTCAACGATTGAAAGTGAAAAACTCTCGATTGTAGTTTATTGATTCCATGTCAAGTTGATTGATTTAGTTTTCAATTATGTAGGTACATAAATACATAGCTGCACGTGGTACGCCAAAGCTGGCGCGCTATTTCCATTATAGATTCAGAAATTCAATTTTTTAATGGGTTCTCTTTTCAAATTTTCTCTATATATTTTTGCAGGGCATCCTCGAGAGTCCATCGTGTGTAACAACAACGCCTGACACGCTGTCCGCCTTGCTGTGGACAATAACCGCAGTTTTTGGTATAGTTTATGCGCTGCTTGGTAAGTATTGGGATTAAAAAAAAAAACATTCATTGCAACTGCTACATTGTAATATGTGCCAAGAAAAAAATATTGGAATTTATTATTGTGTGAACTGTAGTTGCTTCCCATCAAACAGTCTCTAGCGCTAGAAAAAAAATTTGGATTTTACATTAGAGTTCTAATGCAGTTCCCGAATGGGAAATCAGGTTAGAGAACTATATAAGCATTCGATTAGAGACTGATTAGAAAAAATACTAGACATTAGAAGCCAATGGCAATTCAACGTCAAAACACGATTAGATATCTAACCTTACATAGATAAGGCTAGTCAAACGGCGCACAGTGCGTAATTCGCGGGATTTAGGGGAAGGAAAATCGAAAATCGAAGTTGGTAAAAAAAAGTTCAGATACGATATGCGTGATTGTTAGAAGATTACCTGGAAGAATTCTGAGCTTGTGCAAACATGCCTGTTTTGACGAACGAAAATCGCCAGTTTTCCGGCCTTTATCAATCAGTGGTCGTATCCGTCTCATTTCATAACGAGACTGCAGTCTTGGGTATACTTTGCATTTTACACATTGTAAGCTTAATTAAAAACATTATTTTGAAATTTTAGACGTCAATCTTCCATATCAATGACGCTCCTTTAGATTAAAAAAATAATAATGGGATTTCGCTTTTTTCATATAAACATATAAATTGTTTGACAGCGTGTGACATTTGATCTCTTCAGGAACCTTTAACTGGACATCTGTATATCAAGGGCCAATAGTAAGAATTTGCACAAAACTGCACAATTAAAAAACAAGTCGTTTAAAAGTCAACCTTTGGTTGAAAAAAATCGGGTTTTTGTGTATTTTTGGTGACAAAAAATTAGTCATTGGGATTTTTCTTATTTTGAGGCATGGCAGCTAAAAATCTCAAATCGACCTTGAGGTAAAGAAACACAAATAATAATTTAAGTTTTCTTTTTTTTTTGATTTTTGTATACTTAGTTCTTGTAAAACACTATAGTTAATGCAAAAGGTGAAAACTGTCAGCCAAAATGGTGCGAAGATATAAGAAATCAAATTATATAATTATATTTATATTTTTTTTGAATATATTGCTTACTGTCCATAAATACGGACTTTCGAAATATTTCGACCCCGGCGCCACCTAACGGGTAAATGTTTTGCAAAAATATTCCTGCACGTGCAACCAATATACGTGGAAAAAATAACCCAGATTCGACTATACCTAACAGAGATATATCGCTTTTAATTTTTGACTATAAAGACCCTCCCTTGGAAATGCCCATATAAAATATTACACTTATGGAATCACCCACATCCTTTGAAAGCGTAATTATACAGTCTATTAGAAGTACATAACTAAAAAAAAATATATTCTAGAGTCAAAATTGTGGCAGCTATGATTTTCCTTCCCCTAAATCGCCGAAATCACGCACTGTGCGGCGTTCAAAAAATAACGAGATACTCTTAAAACTATTTACAAGTGCTAGAAAATCAATTTCTCCCAAAATAATTGGTATTCTCTTAGGGCCCTATTTTGTATGGCGACTGATAGCCGATGTGCAACCATATACTGAAATTTGCATTACGTACCTGTGTTGTCAGAAATAAATATCCATCCCTATCTCACTTCAAAATGTATTGAAAATATGCTGATATAGGGCGTTTTTGAATCGGCAGCTGAGATAGGGCGTTTTTGAATCGGCAGCTGAGATAGGGCGTTTTTGAAACGAATTCTGAAATAGGGCGTTCTTGAAAAGTTTTTTGAGATAGAATGAGAAGACAGTCTAGTACTATTTTTGTCAATGTATTGTGTCCTTGAGTGCCGGTTTTGTATGTGTGTCGTGTACATGTTTATTTATAAACGTATGTGTTCCTTTTCTTTGGTACGTGTTTATTGATATATCTATACTGTAGTGTTCTCGGACGGTACTAGCTCTTATTGCCAATATAGGAGTATTACGTATATATGAATTTCCAAAATTTTATTTGTTCAGGTACATAAGCACGTGCAGTTTTTATTCTAAACAAACATTCTGTGATTAAAACTCGTAAAAAAAACAAAAAAATAGATACATTACAAATTCATTAATTACACTAGTTGATACGAAGAGAGGACTTCGCTAAAAAGTGTTTTTTTAGACTTATTTAGGGTTGCTAACCATGAAAATAAGTCTCATTTACTTTCCCAGAGAAGCGTTAAAAAAGAAAGGACTTGGCTAAAAGTGTTCTTTTAGACTTATTTAGAGGCGCTAAACATGAAAATAAGTCTCATTTACTTTCCCAGAGAAGCGTTTTCGAGATATAAAAACTCCAGAAAAGCGAATGCAACTAATCTTTTAAGGATACATTTCGAAAGATATATTTAGCCTCATTGCATTGATATATTTTTTTGTTAATCGGAATATTACTTTTTGAGTTTCAGGCCATTAAATTTGAAAGATAAGAAAATTTTCAGGCTTTTTCTAAAATTGTTTATTTTATTCATTCCTTTCAGTTTATAAACTTTGTAAAAAACACAATTTATAACGAAAATGTGAAGCATATGAGCGCCCAAATCGGAAAGAAAATGTTAAACTTTTGACAAATTTAATAAAAGCGGCAAATTTCAATTTCTCATATTTTTTCGTTTTTCAATAAACTATTTTCGTTCATTTTAGAAGTCCAGGTCGAGTTGAAATTTAAAAGCCATTTAGAGGTTGAAAAAGCACTTCCGATAAAAGTTTCAAACAGAAGTGACGTATTTTTGTCCACAAATTCCGATTTTGTAATAAAAACATGTATGACCCATTTAAAAAAATTGACTTTCGGTCCGATCGAAAACGAAAGTCCGTAATATTACCAAAAGATAGAACATTCTCGACTTGGTAGGTCATGTTAAATTAGTAAGTCATAGAAAATTTAGTCGTTAGATAGAGCAGGGCCGGTGTTTTTTAATTAGGTACTTGTGTTCTCCCAATTTTTAATTTTACAACTTTTTTTTGTAAAAATTTTGCCCGCATAGCAAATAGATTACGAAATAAACGAGTGTTCCACATTACACTCCTCTCGTCTACTCATGTCAGCTAAACAAATTTGGTATCATATGAAAGAGGACTGAAATACTGAAATAGCTTCTAAACAGAAATAACGAACGACCTCTATTTATATTTTTTTATAATTTAATACTAAATAAATGCATATACCTCACACAAGGTTTGTTCTATGGTAATTAATTAACATTTTTTATAGAAATATTTTTCAAAATGTGGCTTTCCTCGTTTAGACATTTCAGTTTTAAAGCTATTTAAGTCCTTTTTCATTTCATACCAAACTTGTTTAATTTGGATAAGAGGTTTGTTTATTATTTGGAAAGGACTTTTATTTCGGAATAATATTCGCAACAACCCAGGTTGAGATGTAAATTGCACTTGCTTAGGAGCTGTTCTGTAATACCTTATGGAGGGAAGGCCTTCACAAAATAGCTTCTGGGATATGTAGATATGTATCTACATACGTATGTAGATGGGTATGCAAATATGTATGAACTCACCTGAATTTCCAAATCAGCAAAATACTTTTTCTTTTCATTTTTCTTATCAATCGCCTCCCATTTTTTCTTTCAACCATTTCCGATTTACACCACTCTGCAGGTTATCGCTGCCTTCGCGCTGTGGGCTTCCTAAGCGGTCTGCTCGTCGGTGCCAATGGCATTTTCATATTACAGGACTTTCAAGTGACACTACTCGGGAAGCCAGCCGACTCCGCATTAGCCATTGTCGCAGGGCTGCTCGGCGCAGTGATTGGCTCCACATATCCTGTGGCATCGGTGCTAATCAGCGCCTTTGCAGGCGCACTGATCGCTGGTGCAGCAATGGCTGTTTGCGTAGCCACAATGCCCGACAATGAATTTGGCGTGAGTATACTTACATACATATACATACATATATGCGCTTAAATATTTGCATAAATAATCAGATTTAAATACTTTCAATTTTAATTTGCAGTATCGCGAAATTTATGTTGCAGTTGTGGGTGGCGCGGTTATTTGTGCTGTCTTGACATTGTGTTGTGTCAAATATGTGACAATACTGACATCGAGTATCGTGGGCAGCGCGATGATTATAGCGTCTATCGATTTTTTCATGCATAGCCTAGATACGATAAATTGGGTAAGTATTAGGATTGAACGGAAATTTAAATAAGAATAATAATAAATAATTAAAACAAGCAATAAATGTATGTAATTTCGTTATAAAGCAAACAGCTAATGCCAGATTGCGAACCTCATATTTTTCAGATTTTAAACATGAAACCGAATCCTTCACCTCCACCTTGTTATGGCGGCATTTTGATTTGCTCTTGGCCAGTTGCAATCATCATCAGCATAATGGTGCAGTGCTTCATTACTGCCTGGCGGGTGGATCACCGCAAGCGCGTCTATCTACGACACCATCACCAGATGGCGCGATGTGGCGCAAATGGCGTACCAGCCAATCGTATGAGTGGACGACCGCGTGAGACGCGCGAGGAGGCTAGCCAACGCAAGTACCGTTATTTGTATCAAGTGCGCACAGCACGTGGCGATATCATTTCGCAAGTGAGTAAAACTTCCTTAATTTTATAACCTAGTAACATAAAAAAAACTTTCCTTCGGCACCTTGCAGAACTTCGTCTCCGCGCTGCAGAAACGCATACAACTAGGCGGAACTGAGACGCCATCGGAACGCTCCATCAAAACAAGTTCGAACGAACGCAATACATTTCGCAGCGATCGTACACACTTCACCACTATACCCGATTCCGAAATGTGCGACAAAATTGAAATTGTGCGCGATCTAGGATAACAAACAAGCAACAGTTATATGTAAGGCGTCGAAGTAGGCTGTAGCAAAGAAGAAAATGTGAATAAAAAGAGGAAATGGAAGAGCAAAACAGGAAATATGAGTGAACAGTGGTGAGCGGATGTACATACATACATACATGCAATGCATTAAAACAGCGGAAGTTACGCTCACGCGAACGAGTGCGAAAGAGACGAATAGAGAGTATGTTTGCGATGCGTTGATAAAAAGAAGCGAATATGAGTGCGTGCGTGTGCCAACGATCGCAAGTGAAATGGCTATAGAGCTACAACTAAAGTGATAAAATGCGACGCTATGTAGGAAAGCGGAAAATTATAACCGAAGTGTAAATAAAATTTGACAATGCTGGAAGTAATAAGAAAACGACGTATGCATTCAAAGAAATGTATGAAAGTGATAAAAAAAAATTGTTGGTTTCGTGCGCAAAATTCAAGTAAACAAACGAAGCGAAAACGACAAAATCCAAGTAAATATCTAAGGGGTTTCTAAAATACCGACAAACAACTCAAAATTTAATAAATATTGAGGAGAAAACACAGAGGCAAAAACCTGTACAGAGAAAATACGAAATAAATTATTATTTTTTTTTTGCAAATATGATAGAGAAGAAGCAAGTATTTTTTCCAAGGATTAATTTCAAGTACAAGCATATTTATGACACTAGTTTCTAAGTTCCTCTTTGATGAGTACATGCAGACGACAGAAACATAACCTATATGTAAAAGTGATGGCATTTATGTATACTAAAAAATATGACCTAAAAATAAATTATATAACAGGGTGTTGCAGGCTTTAACTTAAAAAGTATATAATTTTTATATTATTTTTAAGTTGAAATTTACTGTTTTAGTGTTAGTTTAGAATTAGATAGTATTTGCTTTAGTATGATATATGAAAATTACTCTGACTTAATGCGTGCTATGTTAAAAGTCGAATGGCTGATTACAAAAACTGCAAATAATTAATTGGCACTGAATTATTTAAGTCAAAATGACTGACATTTTATTTTGAAAGGGATTACATAGTTCAATTCGCAATTTTCAGAGAGATTTGGCGTATAAACCTGCTATATAGGCACAGGAACAAGCATTTTGCGAATTCAAAATTTTTGACAACATAGCCTATGTATGTTTAAACTTTTCAATAAGTGGGATATATGTATGTATTTACGACTCGTGAGTGAAATACATAAGTACATAAATGAATAAAAAATATTCGTACACAAAATAATTGAAAAAGTTTTTTAACTTAAATTTAAAATTTTCGGTTAAAAATGTACTTGTATATGAAATTTTCGCTATAAATTTAATTTACTTGAATTATTGAAAATGGTTCTTTCTAGAGCAGCATACGCGTGAGTTAATCAAAATAGCGATCGAAGTTATACACAAACAAGCGAAAAGTTGTGAATAAGAACAAATTACATTTAAGTATAATATTTAAAAATGTGCGAAGCTTTTTCCCTTTTCTGACTTGGTCTTCTTCGCAGGGAAGTTTTGAGCTTTTATATTGGAGTGTATGCAACCACCGAAATGTACCAAAGTATTTTACGAGGTCACATTATTTCAATACTGCCAGAAAATAACTAAATTTTTAATTGGAGAAAAATATAAAATAATAGCGCTGATTGGTAACACTGCCCGAAAAATATTGCATGGTTTTTGTAATTTCAGGTTAGAGTGTTAATTTTAATAGGCGTTGTTTTATATGTAGTATTAGTCGACTTAAATAAAATAAACTTTTTGTATATGTATGTACTTCTCCACAAGAATGAAATAGAAGATATTTATGTACCTTTTTACCTCTGTTAAACTATTAACTAAACTATAAACAGGCACGGAAAAACTAAGTTATCTCATTTTATCAAATTAAAACTTTGAATATAATAATTATATTGTTTACGATGAAAAAATATATATAAATTTTTTATTTTTATTTTTATAAACTTAGTTTACTAGACCTACAAGCCACTACATGCATACATATATACATATATACATTTCACTAAGTAAAATATGATTGTTGAATAAACAAGCTGTTTAATATCACTATAAGAAATATATCTCAACTTAAAACATTTTTTAAACTCAAATATGTATGTATTTCAGTCTAACCACATATCGCACACAGTCTTCAAAAGAGTCACAACTCAAAATAATACGATTGTCAGAAAATGCGAAAAACTATATCTTAGCACACGATAATCATATGGGCAAGGGCGACTTTACCTTGCATTTGTTTTTAACAAATTATAACAAAAATTTGCGCCAGCTTTTGCTGAAAGGTAAATAAAAGCTCTGCGTACAGAGACGGTGTGCGATATGTACTTATATGTACATATCGAGGGCTTATATTCAATACCCTCTATCTGCACTTTTCACAAAAAATTAGATTCTGATATAAAAGTCCACCTAAGACTTAACTGTCATCGGTGATATTAATGATGACCTTTTATAGCGCTTGACAGAAGAATTTAATATTAAATTGCAAAGTTAGAATTCACATGAGTGATGACAGGTAATTCCCAGATGGGTTCTAACACCACAAGGCAGTTTTTGTGAAAATTGCAGATAGCGGGCATCGAATATGAGCACTCGATATATACTATGCATGTGAATGTAAAAATATAGTTTTACTAAGAATAATTAAAAATTTAACAATTATTGAACGTGTCTAGTATTTATACTATATTTATCATAGAATTAAGCTTTTAATTAATGCGGTTGGAAACACTACAGTACTTCCATGCAAATAGTAGAAGAAAACAATGTTTTCCATTACAAAGGATTTGGTTTCAGCATACAAAATGCTGCTACATTTATTTTTATTCTCTTTGTGCGATTACTGTTTATTAAGAAAAATATATACATAACTGTTGGATTTAAAAATAACTTCTTTTTTTTTTAGGTTGAAAACTTCAAAAAGGGCACATGCATTTTAGTTTTTAAAAGCTTTGCTCAATTTTACTATTAACTGCATTAATGCAATTTTAAAACCTTATTAAAGTCATCGATAAGGAAAACGTATAGTTGGAATTTTTAAAAGCACAGCTTTATAATTACGTTTGTCAAAAGCTGAAATTATTTTTGACGTTTGTTCAAATTTTTTGTATGTTAATTATATGTACATATGTACATAGTACATACTACGCATGTATAATAAATTTATACATATTTCTAAATCTTATACCAAAAAAAAATTGTAAAAGTACAATTTAATCATTAATAACTTTTCTAAACTAATTAAAAGAATTACAAAATTTGTTAAGTCTATATGTGTGAAAACACACAAAATATAGTTTATATTTGACTCTTCCGCTCCAAAAACAAACAAACGAAGATATTTAATTGTAAAAACATAAATTGATTAATAAACTATTTTGTAAGCCAAATAATGCAAAAATTAAAATAGTATAGCTTTTAGTTTAAAATTAAAAGTAAGTGGATAACCGCGCAAAAACGGCAGTACAAAATGAATTTAAAATAATTCAGTTGTGCGAAAAGTAAACTAAAAGAAGAATACTGTAAGAAATAAAAAAGGAAATATTCAAAGAAAGCAAAAAGCATTAGAAATACCACAAGATAAATGAGTGATCATTAAGAACCAAATTGTATAAGCTTGGTTTAAAAAATAAATATATTTATCTATTACAAAAATCAACCAACAACATATGTATATTAATTTTTTTTTTTTTCATTTGGATTTGTTTTACGTATGTAGGTATATTTCTTGCCGCTGTGGTGCAGTGCGCACTACCATTCCGCAGGTCTGGGTTCGAGCCCAGCTTCCAACCAATATAAAAAAAATAAATAAAATAAAAACAAAGTTGGCAAACCTCCGAGTGTATTTCTATCATGAAAAACAGCTTCTGATAAAAATACCATCGCCGTTCGGTTTCGGCATAAAACTGTAGCTCCCTTCCCTTTGTGTGACAACTTCAAGGCGCACGCCACATATCGGAGGGGAAGCTCACTAACATACGTATTGTGTAAGCGCCAATCTACTATTATTTTTGTATTTTAATATAATTTATATTTTCCATTGTTTTTAAATTTGTGGTGTTTTATTTGTTATATTTTTTATTTGATTTATTTGAATGAAAAACTAAAATATTAATGCAAAAAAGGAAAAAAACAAACAAAATCCATATTCATTTAATATATATATATAATAATATATATGTATGTATATGGACTTGTAAGCCAAACTATTAGGGTTTAACAACATACATATAAAATACATATACATGCATATGTATGTATGTAAAATATGTGGAAATAAAAATGTGTATGACTAAAAAATAATAAAAAAAAATATTTTTCTAAAAAAAATGTAAGAAAGAAAAAATACATAGGTATTAATTAACTAAGAAATTCAAGAAAGCATGATTAAGAGAAAAATTAAATTTTTTTATTTGAACAACTATAAAAATAAAATCAGAAAATAACTGAAACTTAGATATAACAAATAATTGTTAAGCAAAAAAACAAAACCGACTTCAATTCTCATATAAAAGGTCGGATTTAAACCAAATTAATATGTGAGGTAACATCTTTCCTTTAAAAAAAGAATTTTAGAAATCGGTTAACGTGGTCCAAAGTTATGCGGTAACATACATAAAAAAAATATTCCGACAAATTCATAACCTTCTATATTCAGCCTTATCATGAGTATGATTTTCGCCCGGGATCGTTCACTTTTCGCTCATGTGTTTCACTATGGGCGGATGAAAAACAATCGGGCGAATTTTGTTTTCGGGCGAAACTCACGATAAGGTTGATTAGAACCTCGAAAAATAAGGGTATATGCTAAAAAACATGTTATAAAATTAAAAAAATATATACATATACATACATCCATAGTATATACATACTTGCTTAATATGCGTAAAAATACAAATTGTATTTTAAACAAATAAAGAAAAAAATAAAAACAAAATAAAAAATAAAGTTAAAACGTGTAGCGAACCAAAACTTAATAAACAGTAAGCGTCAAAAATCAAACAGATGCAAAATCTTTTTTTGAAAAGAATACTAATTTGTCGACAGATTAATTTTTTTTTAATTCAACATTTTTTATAATAAAATTAGTGAAAAAAATAAAGTCTAAATTAAAAAAATATTCATAAATTAAAGAGCATTTTATTTATCAAAATTGTCGACTTTCAAATGTGTAAAAAAACTAAACTACATACTACTAAAACCCTTAAGTTATATATAATAAAATGCCAAAACTTCAACAACAACAAAATTATATCAATAAAATAATAAAGGTATGCATTTATTGCATACCAAATGTGTAAAATAGAAATTACCGTATCATTTATAATGAAATAAGAAAATTATAAAACTTAGTGCCGGCTTCTGAAGTAGGTTTTAAAATTTACCTGATCTTTAAACACATTTTTTTCAGAACAAAATTTGTGTATAAAAGGCAGTTAAATTCTAAAACCTTTTTGAGAAAATGGCCTAAATATAATAAAACGCGCCAGTAAATAAAAAATTAGATTATGCTAAAAACAAACCAGTGTATTTTCGAATGAATTTTCTTCGGCACAAATATGCAACAGATAACGTTAAAATATATTACAAAATGTCAAAAAAAGGGGTTTTGAAATTAAAAGATTTTCGATTGTTTTTCTTAAATGTAGGTTTTTAAGAAACTTTTAAACAACTAGGGAGGTGCGAAACTGCTTCAACAAATCACATTTAAACAACACAAAATTATTAATTAAAAAACAAGTTTTCGAAATTGGCATCTGTTAAAAGGAATAACTACACAAAAAAATTGCCGATGGGTGACGTTAGAGTCGAGGTATTTGGAAAACCCGTATCCCGGGTCCGAGTTGGTTCATATTTAGAAAGCTGGTTTTGCCATTAACTTATTTAAATACTTGATGAGTAGGAAACATTTAAAACATCAAAGGCAAAATAACGTGGATTTTCTAAAATCCAAGTTTTTCTAAATTAAGTTTTCTTTACAAAAAACTGAGTTTTGAGCAATTCTAAAGCAGGGAAAAACTTTTTGCAGACTACACTGAGTTATCGATACCAAAAGATATTTGAAAAATATTTTTCTATCGGATTTCCGTAATTTTAGTGCTTCATAAGCATATACCGAAAAGAAAAAGCTGCTTCCACTGAAAAAAAAACTACTTTCGAAAATGTATCCCCTTTTAAACAAATCGAGTTCTGAACGTAAAAACCTTAAAATTGTAGTACAAAAAAGAAGGTTACAAAATTTTTAATATTTTCTGAAATATGGTCTTTTTTAGACGCTTGCCAATAAAAAGTGATTTTTTGCATTAATTTATTAACACGAAAATATATATAAAGAAAGGAATTATCAACGATTAGTTTTCTTCAAAAATTCAAATTTTGCAGACTTCTCGACTATATTGCTTTGCAAAAAATACGGTTTCAGCGTTGTGCAATTTTTAAAATCTTTTTTCGTTCTCAATCCTTTTTTATAAAGCAACTAGTTTTTCTACAAACAATTCTACCGATCAGCGATATAAAACAACTAACTACATTAGCAAATATTTTCTACTTTACAATTAAATATTATTAAAAAAAATTGTCACGACTTTGCTTCGCACTTACAAAAGACGTTAGGCGTTGCTGCGCGGCGGTAAAAAGAAATACTTGCGTAGTGTATTGCTGGATATGGGCATCATTATCTCATTTTCATTACCGCGCCGCTCGCTCACTTTGCGATTGACGCAGATGAGAATGTCAACAATGTGGCGCCTGCAAAGCGAAAAACAATTGCATGGTTAAGAATTTTTAAATAAGTTATTTAAACGCAAAACAAAACTTTTAATTTTTATCTAAAAACCTTAATTTTGGTTTCGAGCCAAATGGTATCGCTTAGTGCTTACCTATCGCCAAAACGCTCAACAGCTTCACATAATTCTTGTATAAACCATGTGCCCTCCACCGTGTGACGCATTGCAGAATAGCCGGGCACAGTCGACATTGCCTTGACAATATCACCGAAACGATGAGGCGTCACATTAATCTTGCGCTTTTCCTGTTAGGTTTGTAAAGAGTATAATATAAATAACAAATCCAATTAAAAATCAAATTCTTACGCTTATTGGTGATTCATCTTTCTGACACGCTTGTATGATTAGCAATTTTGGCTTGGCATACAGCGTATCGCCTGTAATTATATGTTCAATTTCAGCTATCTCTACAGGAATGCTATTGCTGCCATAAACGGAACCTAGATGTAAAAGAAGAACCTCGATTAGACACTAACAATTAAAGATAAAAGGTACACACACACCATCGATGCCATGCGATAGTATGCACACAATCAGCGAATCGAACTGAAAAGACAACTTTACAGTCTCACGTATGCGATGCATCAATTCGAGATGTGTGAGATTTTCGAACTCCTGCGCTCTGTAGCCGAAATCCGTAAAAACATTCCTCAGTCGCTCCTTGTCTACATTCGAACCATAGCGCGCTTTGAGTGGCTTTTTTGGCAGCAAGTGCTTTATATAATATACAAAAAATTGTTAATTAATATACAATCATATAGTATGTACATATGTATCAATTTTTTTTGTAACCTTTAATGCGGGATCGGGATCTTCATGGAAGCTTAGCTGATTGATTATCAATAGAATTCCAGCTCTTTCTCGACGTACTTCATATTTTTCACCCATCGTTAGGTCACAGCTGCGAACCGAGGCGCAGGCATTGTCTCCTGTTTGTGGAATTGGTGTAGAAGTAGCGGAAATAAGCATATTATTATTTTCCAACGGCGCAACTGCAGTGGAATTATCTGCACTTATATGAGCGCCACTGCTAACGTGCTGTTTTTCAGCATTATTTACGATGGTTTCGATAAGCAGTGTTTTCAAAGCATCCATATCATTAAATTTAAAAAATTCGAGAAGCACATCGACATCCGCTCCATTTGCTGCACTATCACCCAAAATTATAATGCGCCGTGAGATCCAGTCGAGCATAAATATTTCCAGGTATGCGAAATCATAGAAACACAGAAGCTCTTCCGGACGTTTGCGTTGTTCATTGACCCGCAGCACTAGCTGCCCAGCTTGTGCCGGTTTCAAACGCTCACATACGCGGTATAACGCCTTTAATAGTGGGTGTACATGCAGACTTAGCTCGCCAATATGTGGCAGGTAGTGTTGATGTAATTCATTCCAATCGAATCCCAACTTGCGCAACACACGACGGGCACCCACTATAGCCAAGGCCTCTACCAGCTGAGCACGCCAATTGCGCGGATTTAGGCTTATGTATTTGGTGAGCAAATCGGCGCCGCCGCAGCCGCCGCCCTTATGGGTATTGGATAGGATGAGTAGCTATTTAAAACAAATATGCGTCAAAATTTAAATCTATTATAGCAAAATGTTTTGTACTACCTTTTGCAGAGCAAACTCGGCAGCTACGCGGTCATCGCCGAATAGAAGGAAACCCAAAGAAACCTGTTGATTATGATGGTAAATTATCTTTTTGTAAAACTTTTTACGAAATAGCAGCGAAAAAATATTTCCAGACTCCTTAATTGGTTCGTGCGCCAGAGTCTACTTACCAGCTCATAGAAGCACAAATCTCGTTCTACGTATTGCAAGTCTTCCACATGAATATTATTCAATTTGGAAACTAAATTAAAACGTTGGCGTCCAGAAGCCATTTAAATACTTCTTGCAATTAATCTAAAAAAACTGCAAAACAAAAATACTGCGAAAAATGCATTGGATGACTAAAATTGCAAAACAACAAAGAAAATCATAATATCAGCTGACAT